CACTGAAAAGTTTGTTAGCGACGTTTTTGAAAATTCTCACCCGGCACCTCGCCTTTGCTCACTTTCTTTTGCAATATCGCTTATTCTATATAAATGTATGATAGAAATGAAAAGGGAATGTTGGGAGGCGAAGGAACGGCGAAGAACGTAGGGCCCATGTGGAAACAGGGGCCTTGTTAGCGGTCCAATAAGTCCACAAAAGTTATAGGACCCCCGGACCAGCCAATAAGGTCCGATAACTTTGAGCGCGAAAATTTTGTGAGCTCCTTTTTGAAATCTACTTGCACCCGGTCTTCTGTACACTTTCAGTCTACAACCCTGACTGCTTGCCGGCCTGCGTCGTTGACCGAACCGAAAATGTCGCAGAACCAGTCGCCCTCGCCGATTCCTTCTGGCAATATGCCCTCTGCTATCCATAACGCCCTTATGGCAACGATGCAGCAGCCCCTGCAGGGCGCGCCGTCTCTTCGCTTCGACGCCGATGTCCATGCTGCCGCCCAGGCCGCTTCGCAGAGCATCACCTCCGAGCTGCAGCGCTACAATGTACTATACTGACTACAATATTGTCCTCGAATTAGGGTGTTTTGGCGCTAAATGACGTGCAAAAAGATGGTTTCGGGGCTACTAGTGGAAACACCATTTTGTTAGGGTTTGTTAGCGCGCCAATAACTTTTTCGCGGCTAACAAACAGACTCGACAGTGGAAACAGGCCCTAAATAAGCTATCTGTATCTGTATGGGAAAGAGGGTAAATGTAGCCGACGACAATGACTTACGATTGCGCGTGCTCTAATCCGAAATTGTGCATGGCCTCGTGCATAATGACTTGAAGATCCGTTGAATCCAAGGTGTTGTGCGCTCGGGCCTTGATGAAGCTGGCAGTTAGTGGGAGGTGTAGGTGCGCATATGGATGCGGTGGGAAAGAGGGAGACAGAAGAATATGAGATCCAGGCAGGGGAATTAAAGGGCCATGCAGGCAGACGGGGGTTGCAGCTTGCATCAGCAGTACATAACCAACTAAGCGGTACCAGCATCAAATAGACCAGGATACCATACGCCCCTGAGTTCATTTGCCAGCTATTCTCTGTGTCTGTACACATCTGTACACATCATATACACATTCATGTATATATGTTTCGTTTATTTGTTACTGTTGGGTTGTTCGATTCTCCTCCTCCTCCTCCTCCACCTCCTCCTCCTCCTAGAAACCAATACGAAAACAACTGGCTGCTGGTATGATTGAGCGAAAAGGGGGTAGCGTGCGTGCACCGCCCATGACTATTGAATGTTTTGTATTTGTATTCTAGGTGGCGGTATTTGTATTCTAGGCGGCGGTATTTGTATTCTAGGCGGCGGTATTTGTATTCTAGGCGGCGGTATTTGTATTCTAGGCGGCGGTATTTGTATTCTAGGCGGCGGTATTTGTATTCTAGGTGGCGGTATTCTGTATATTGTACTCTAGGCTACACTCCGGCGCACGAAATTGGTAGCATAGCAAGCGCAGCAGAAACCGCACGTATGCAAGCATGCGAGCAAGCACGCGCACAGCAGCCCATCACTACTTACGAAGAACAAACGTAAGAGGTGCACATTAAATCCGCAAAGCCGTCCCATTCGCATGGCACCTTAGGGGGTAGGATGAATATGTGTCGACGACGCGGTAGAAGCTTGAGCGCCCAATCCAATCTTTCATCATTGTACTTCTTTGCATACTGCAAGTAAACAAAATACACATATCGGTAGCAGGTAAAACAAGCAAGCAAAGTTGCCAGGAGCTGCAGCAACTGGCCGCTGAGAAGGGACTGGAGCTGCTGCCAGCAGGACGCTTAAATTTTATATCATAGTTTAAACAGGCTGGCTATATCCTGATCAAGATGAAAATGACACCTTTTTTTTAAGCGGAAGTGGATAGAAAGTATATATAATATATTACATAGCAACAAAACTCGTGGAGCTTGGGAAGTTACCGCTCCATAACATTCCTTTGTACGGACTCCCGGATTTGAGCTAAGGTGTTTTGGCCACATGACTTGACCACACGGCTGCATGGGGAGTTGTCACGCTCGAACAGTGGGCCTGCCTTCCTAATCGTCTCATAGGAGCTAATGTATTCTTCCGTAGAGCTCTGCCTCATTTACTGGTACAGGAACGTCGGTCGTGTGTGATTGCGTTTTTGGACATAGCGAATAGCAAATGTGTAGTAGCTGGTACGCAGTACGGCAGCTTGAACGACCAACCGCGTATGTAAGCGGCGCTTTTAATGCCATCGACAGTCCCAGTCGCTTTGGATACATCATTTTTGGGAATGCTCAAAGCGGATGTATCCAAAGCGACTATATAAATTATATATACATATATATCATATAAATTATATATATGTATATATATATAATGTATATATGTATATATATGATTATATATATGATTTATATGATTTGGCGCACCCGATATCCGGAGCCGAAACCTGGCTAATGCAGCCTCCGGCGGGAATATAACAATGTGTTTGGGATGTATTTAGTGGTCCTAGCGTTTGCAGCCAGTGCGATGGAGGCGGGGCGTCGGCTCACGCAAGCGACAGCACACCGACGGGAAATAACACATCAGGCCCAAATCATGGACCGGGCCATCCACAGAGTCATTTTTGACTTTTGGGTGCGGTTAAAGTCATTGTTGACTTTCGGGTGCGGTTAAGTCCTTTTACTGCATAAGGCAGCCGACGTAAGCGCGGTTGGAACACAGTTGGACCTTATCACCTTTTTTACGGGCAGTAGAGGACAATTTGTTTTGCATGGATCTGCTCACAGACGATGGTGATCGGTAATTCTACCCCTCGGTGACTGTTCAGACACTGCTTGGTAGGAAGGCGGTCCCGTGTGTAATTGGCCGCACTCCTTCACGTCGAGGCAACGCTAGCACGCCGGTATGTGTGGGCATGCGTTTGTAATTCATAGGGGAGCCATATTGGCAAAATCCCCCTGTTGCATCACGGCTAGTCCGGTCTTAATCGTAGCCGATCTTGCTGGTTTGTTGTGCGTGCCGGTACGGACCGCTCGTTCTTCCGCTCCAGGCTACGTGTGTCTGTTAACGTTACAGCGACAGGCGATGCCCCCTTTTGGCTCGGTTTCTTTGCCTTACGGTATAGAAATATGGTAGCCCGCTGTAATAACATCAACAACAAAATATAATAAAATAAAAATAAAAAATTATAATAATAATAATAATAATAATAATATAGTACATGATGTAATGTTGCGCCGCGGCCTTAACAAAGGCGTGTATTTAGGGTTGCTGGCGGGTTGGAGAGGTTGCTGGCCTTTGCACCTCCCTCCTGCCACCGCAATAATAACGGACGAAAAATTACAGACAGACTGCACCAGCAGACACGTTTGCCGCCCAAATAAACAAAAACGAGCAACGGAGGAACATTTTGTGGCTGTACGTAATAAGCCTATCTAGAATGCCCTCGCTCGCTCGCGCCAGTCACTCGCTGCTGCTGCTACTGCTGCATGCTTGGTTCGCTGTCCTCCGCCGTATAAGCATATCACCCAACCAACCAACCAACCAACCACTTACAAGGCGGGCTTTCCGGGGATCCTCCTCCCAGGCCTGTTGCTCTGCCGTATCACATGACACAGCGCTGTCCCAAACGAAATCCGGCAAGTTTGGCCGCTTCCTGACTCCCGAGCACGTAATATTAATGGGCTCCGGTACGATGAAGATGCCTTCGTGCGGCAGAATGACCTTATTTTTAAGGCATGTGTTGTGGTAATTCTGCAAATTAGTAGTTCGGGGGTGCGCAAGGTTGACTCTTTGGAGTAATATTACTATTAATATTGAACACACGGCGGGGCTCATCTGAGCTCATTCACTATACACATGGTGTACGTAAACATATACATATACATATACATATACATATACATATACATATACATATACATATACATATACATATACATATACATATACATATACATATACATATACATATACATATACATATACATATACATATACATATACATATACATATACATATACATATACATATACATATACATATTCACATATGTACAAGCCCTCGCTCGCGCACCTGCAAATTATTTGGCATTGAACTGCCCGCGTACAGCGCTTGTTCCACCTGCATATAAAACCCAGGTAAGAGAACTTCGTGGAATATGCAGTGTGTAAGAACGAGCAGCACCCCGCTACTACCAACTCCCACTGTACGGCGAGTGTAATAGCTGATGTCGTACAGTACGATAAAAAAGGAAGGAGAAAATACCGGTCCTTGGCGAATTCATTCATGGTCAAGTCAATGCGGAACTAGCTAGCGTGCCTGCGCAACTAATAACTAGCGTGTAAGGGAAGTGAGATAACGTAGGCTGGCAGGAAATACAGGAATCGAAAACATGCCGGGATGATGAAGCAAGATAGGAGGACAGCGAACCAAGCATGCAGCAGTAGTGTAACACCAGGCAAAGAGTACTCAGTTGGGAGATGCCAGGGGAGCTGATCCCTCTTACAAGTAGCAGCAGCAGCGAGTGATTGGCGCGAGCGAGCGAGGGCATTCTAAATAGGCTTTTTACATACAGCCACAAAACTAATGTTCCTACTTTGCTCGTTTTTCTTTGTTTGGGCAGCAAACGTGTCCGCTGGTGCAGCTTGTCTGTAATTGTTCGTCCGTTATTATTGCGGTGGCAGGAGGGAGGTGCAAAGGCCAGCTGCAGGGGAAACCTCTCCAACCCGCCCGCAACCCTAAATGCACGCCTTTGTTAAGGCCGAGGCGCAACATTACATCATGTACTATGTTATTATTATGTATTATTTGCTGTTATTTATAATCATAATAATAACAGCAATGTTATTGTTTCATCGTTATTAGGTGGGCGGACATTGGACACCATCCGTCAACGGAGTAGAATCTTGATCGTTTATACATAGATAGATCGCGCCCTGGCGCCGTATATAGGGACCGCTCCTAATTTTC